TATCACATTTACCAAAACATCTCATACAGCTTTAAAAGTTCATACTCCTCATAAGACTTCACACAATTTTAAGGTGTAGTACTACAGTCAAAGTAATCATTATTTAACTCAGGAAATGAAGTACATAAGAAGCAGTTTCAAAACAAAAATTATTTCTCTGTGTAGTAGTCAATTATACCACTCTTGATTATCTAGAAACTCTAAATGAAGTAATTCATTTCTAAAAGCAATAATCATATAACATCACTTCATCATTTCAATTGAGTTTCATAACCTAAGCAAATAAAGGCATTTTTTTGAACATCACTTCTGAAGTTAAATGCCTCAATTAGTGTGTGGTCATCTTTTGTGATGGCAAATCACTTGTACTTACTGACAGATTTAAATCAGAAGTATAGTATCCCATGCAAATCATACTTAATGTTATAATTTGATTAAATTTGAATTGGAAGACAAGGAAATATTTAGCACTTGGTACAGAATAATAGCACTATTAACTCACTTTTAATTCTACGAGAAACTTTTGCACCGGAAAATGAACACACTTTACTGAATATACTCATGACAACAAAATCCAGGGTGAAGGATGTACACCACCTTCCCATCTTACCAGAGAATTTGGTATTTCCTCTCTATATACAAAAGTATGTCACTAAATTTACTATTTATTGGATCCTATTAAATAGCTTTCCAAGTCTGTTAATCAAACAAGGCATGATATGAAATACTTGAAGCACACAATAAGGATTTATTTTAAATATGTTAGTAAAAATCAGTTTTTAACAATTATTAACAATACCAAAAATATGAAGAAAAATTAAATAATTGACCATTAAATACCTATGGTAAAATATTAAAATAATTTATCTAATCCACAAAGAAAAAAGGTATTTTTGAAAAACACCTTATATCTTCTGTAATAACACTGCAATAATATAAGAACACTTGATAATGTGCTATTTTTTTGCCATTAACTTTTTCCTGTTTGCAGATTACCCTTTACTATCTTCCATTTTATATCATGGCAGAGAGTAAGAACCTAGAACTCAAGAAATCTGTCTACCTTTGTATCCACCAGAAAACAATTAATAGATCATGATAGGTTTCTAACTTCTTCTGCCTTAGTTTATCCCTCTGGATATTGACTTAAGACATTTTTAGCTTTCTGAGCTTCTTTTTATAAAGTATGTGGAGGAATGCATCCTGGATATGGGAAAAATGCCTCCTTTTTAGTCTTACTACATCTGTCATTTTGATCACTGTCCATCTGAGATTATATACTCCTAGGGGAAAGGAAACTTATCTTTGTAAGTAGCTGTGACTATCACAACACCCTATACACAAAGGTACATAATACATGATTTTTGAATAGATTCCTTTTCCCATTAGTGTTATACATTTTTTATTCATGATACCTTAGTATTTTACAACTTTGTAAAATCATGTCATTATACAAAGCTTGTCACTAACCTTCACAAAACCCAAGTGGATTTAGTTATCAGGTAGTTTTATGGAGGGAGAGAAGGAAACGGATGTGTTTATAATTCTCATTAAAGTATAAATATCTTCTCACTAATGCAGACACAAACCACACAGGTCAGTTCTGTATCTCTGAGGAATCACTATATAGTTTGATGCCTAGTTTAAATAAGGGTGAAGCACTGAAAATGTAATACCTTACAAGAAGTTTGCTTGGTGAGACCAAAAAGAATATTAAAATATTTCCTGTAATTGCAGCATTACTTAGAAAAACACTATTTCCACTAAATGACGTTGTGAACATCATTTTATCATTGTTATGGAATAGTTTTGATTATCTAAAAAGAAAAAGCAATCTCATGATTGCTGATTGCCAAGCAATTTCATTACCGAACTAACATCTCTTTATGACTAAAAATGTAGACCTTTCGTATTATACATAAATTTGACCTAATGGTAGAATCATTACTATATTCACTAAATTCATTGTATTTACTACAAATAATTTCCATAAGATTTTTAGCATATTACTTTCTAATAGTTAATGAAATCCACATAGATTGCCTTCTATCCAAATTCAATATTCCCTAGTACTTTATATGTAATGTGTTTTACTATATCTTTATCAAAGCTTTTTATTGATTATTTAGGTTTCTGACTTGTAAAATGTTATTTATAAGGACAATGTTCTGATGTACCTTATTTCTTTAGCAACACCAAATTACATCCAAAAACACAGGATTATTTTTCCCCTTGACAGGTGCAAGCAGTAGTATTCTAGGCAAGATTATTTTTACTGATAGGGCCAGGGATCGCTTTTCAGCGTCTTTGCTGGCTATCGTAGAAATAACATATTACTCATTCATGTATTTTTATTGTTTCTCTTCCACTATCATACCACCAACAATAACTCTATTTTGAATAAATATCTTACACAAACATATCCATTTAATACTCTTGTTGATGCTGGGTAAACTATATACTATTGAAATGATTTCCAAGCATGGCTGTAGATTTTGACTACTTTTATTAGTCAAGTCTTTGTATCTTTCTGTTGAGAGATGGAGGTAGTGGTTAGGAGATTAGCTTATTTATTAAAACTATTTAATAAAATGCCCAAAATAATTTCTACATTTTCATAAAATTTCAAACTGCAACAGATAGTGCAATTGGGTTAGCTTTTTCTAAATACCCTGATATATCAAATATCTGCCTTTTTATTTATGTTATTCTTTCTGTTCACTACCCTTTGCTCATCTCCAAAAGTTTAAATTCACTTGTCCTTAAGATTAATTTAATTATTTAATTTCCACCACCTTCATAAGGTATGCCTGATTTCCAAAACTAAATATCATATTTTCAACTTACGTAATATTTTATAGGCTTTTAAAATAACACCTATTCCCTTCTGTCTTGTATGATAGTATCATTCATACAGACGTATGCACACACACACACGCACACACACACACACACACATGATTATATGCACACATAAGTTTTTCCCTGACAAACCACATTTTCTCCCTGTTATCCTGCCATCATGAGCACACAAAAGAATGCCCACTACAGCAGGAAGCACAGGGAAAAACACATAGACTTCATAATTAGGACAACATGAGTTTGATTAGAAACTCAGTCACCTATTTGTTAATTTCTGTGTATTTCACCTCCTTTATATAAAGTAGAATAATAATGCTGCCTTCTTTTTATTTTTTTTATTTTTTGGAGACAGAGTCTCACTCTGTTGTCCAGGCTGGAGTGCAATTGCATGATCTTGGCTCACTTCAACATTTGCCTCCTGGGTTCAAGTGATTCTCCTGCCTCAGCCTCCTGAGTAGCTGGGATTACAGGCGCCTGCCACCATGCCCGGCTAATTTTTTTATTTTTAGTAGAGACTGGGTTTCTCCATGTTGACCAGGCTGGTCTCAAACTCCTGACCTTAGGTGATCTGCCTGCCTCAGTCTCCCAAAGTGCTGGGATTACAGGCATGAGCCACCACATCCTGCCAATGCTGCTTTCATTTTATCATTTTTGAAAAGTACCTAACCTAACAATACCCTTATAAAGAACTAACAGTTTACTGGATCATCCTGTGTTGTATTCTGCTTAGTAACTTAGAGTGAAAATACAACTTAACCATATCCAAAGAGTGTATTTTTATCATGATTTAAAAATTTATAAGCTACAACTATTTTTCATATATTATTTTGTTTATATAAACAATCACATAAAATATAATACAGTGCTTTAATAAAAATTATCATAGAGTAAAAATATTATCTTTATTTATATGATTTTTTAAGAAGAAAAATATATTTAAGTAACTTCTCCAACATCAGACAGCTGATAAATGGCTAAATGTCAGGGGCATAATTCAAAAAAGACCTTTTTACCGGCAAGTACATATTCTACTTCCTATCTTTTCTGGAAAAAAAAAAAAAAATTTGGTTTCAAGTTCTGAATTAAATTGAATCCTGTTTAATTTTCCTCCTTTGGTGATTTTCTAATAACAACTAGTAAATTTACTTGTCTTTCTTTTACACATAGCTTCTAAATCCTTGTTTTTGTTGTTGTTGTTGTTGATTGTTTCTTAGTCCTTTCTCTTTCAATTATATTATTATTATTAATTATTATTATTATTGCCATGGAGTCTTGCTCTGTCACCCAGGCTGGAGTGCAATGGTGCCATCTTGGCTCACTGTAACCTCCGCCCCTGGGTTCAAGTGATTCTCCTTCCTCAGTCTCCCGAGTAGCTGGGATTACAGGCACGTGGCATCACGCTCAGCTAATTTTTGTGTTTTTAGTAGAGACGAGTTTTCACCATGTTAGCCAGGCTGGTCTTGAACTCCTGACCTCAGGTGATCCGCCCACCTCGGCCTCCCAAAGTGCTGGGATTACAGGCATAAGCCACCCATTAGTGGCCCCTTTGAATTATTTTTAAAGAATAACCTGGTACGTAATTTTGGTTAATCAAGTCATCTTTATGACACTGTTCTAAAAAACACATTTAGTCAATCTGAAGACACACTTTGGCAATTCAAACATGTATCAATTTTTCCAAAGTACTTTAATAAAAATAAAACTCTTCATTTGAATGTCAATCATTGCCCTTCAAATACATGCAAACTACATCTGTTAATCCACTTTGGTTTTCCAATGAAGTTAAAAATCTGACTGTGTAAATAATTGTTTTTGATACATGGTGATAACTGGTGAAAAAAGCTCCTCCTGCTCTAAAATAATCTTGGAAGCAGCATTGAGAACCTAATGTCTTAAACTATAATCAATGAGAATTGATGATATTCATAGTTATCAAATATTTCTAACTGTTCATTTCAGAACTACTAAATCCCTTAGCTTTTCTCTATGTTTCAATACAACTTGAAACTTAAATTCACTAAATTATATAACTTTTCTTAAGAAACAGCTTGTACTATGAGAGCAAGCAAACAGACCATATTGTGTAAAGCAACAGGAAAAAGAACAAAGAGAAATTGGAGAATGAATCTTGTACTCACGGAATGCTCTATAAAATTCTTCAAGAGCCAGGTGCTTGTCAGCATTGAAATCATCGTATTTCAATAGATCATACAAAGTACAATCAAAGAGATCCTTGCCAAGTTCCTCCTGTTTTATCACCTAACAAGAAAATTATAACCATACCTTTATATTTGTATCTTAAAATTTCTATAATATAATTTATTATATATAATAATCACATAATAGATCATTTCACGTCTGCAGCAGGGCAAAGAACTCAATTTTGGAAAAATCCAGGTTTTTAGTTACTGAACAATTATTTTTAACCTTTTTAAAGATATAAAGTTATGATGTTAAGATAGGTAATTACAATTTTGTTCAAATGTTCTAATGTAAAAGTTTCACAGTGAGATGCAACACATCTGAACATTTAAAGAACATTTTGTATTTCATGCATTTTCTTTGCTCCATTTATACTGACTCAAGGAAATACTTCTGGATGAAAATTGCCTCCTGTGTCTCGGTGACCTATGTCAAAATAAAACAGTGGTCTTTCCCAACAGAAATAGTGAGACAGTTTTTTCCAATTTTTTTCCTCATACGATTCGTAAAATAATGAAGTTAGGTTATTTTTTTCTTCTCTGCCTAAACTCCTCCCCAGCTGGAAGTTAAGTCATTTGAGATTGTGCATGAATTCCCTCGGTCACAAAAGAGCTATTAAGCAAATGACTGTTTCCAGGAGCCAGATAGAATTAATGCACCAATTGATGATGAAAATCTATCCAGGCGTGAGTGAAGAAAATCATCAAACTTCTTTTCTAGTCTGTGCTCTAGTCTATGGACCGTGGCTGCAGCTTTTTGGTACTCTACTGATTTTGACTATTTCCTGTCATATAACAGAGCTTCCCAAGATTTTTCAGACATTTCTATTGTGGTAGCTGCATAGCTGTGTCCGTGGTTTTTCACACTCTCTCACATACAAAGGCAGGGGTTTATATTGCTTGAAGCTGTGCATCACAGTGGTTGGTTGGTTGGTTTGAAAGGTAGTGCAGTATAATCAGAAAACAAAGGCTTCAAAATCAGGTGGCTCTGGGTTCGGGACCTGCCAACGCCATTTAATACCTCAATAATTTCTGGCAAATCATTTAAGCTTTCTTCAATTAGAAAATGAATGTGAAGATTTACACACACACACACATAGAGTCAGGTGTAAGACGTAACATACAGCGTATACTCAAAAGTGATCATTTAACATTAAAAATAGTAATTTTTACATAATGCATTGCTTCTTTAAATAATTCACTGCAGACTTCCAGACATTGGCTTGTGCATGTTATGGTTGCACATTCACAATGAATTATCGTTTCTTTTGGTGGAGCAGAATGTCTTGGACTTTCTTTAGTACAGCAAAGGCAGATTGGCGATGCTACTTTCTAAAAATCCTCAGATGCTTTTGAGCTATTTTTTTCACCTTTTCTGGAACACTCCTGTGTTGAACGTTTCATGATGTCTGAGTGTAGATAGGCTGAGGAGATAACTCTGAAAATGGAGCTAAGCATCTGGGTCACAGGAGCCTCCAGCACCCTCTCTAGCCAGCTAAGCAGTGATACGTAATGTTAGCACATGCAGTGCTAAATAGAACTTTTGCAACTCAGTGAGTTCTTTATTTTTGTGTATGTACCAGTGTTAAAATTATATTGGTTAAGCTGATTATTTGTTACCTTGAAGAAGAAAAAAGGCAAAAAGCTTATCTGGTTTAACTGAGCCATATACATAGAACTTGTAGATGGCAAGTCCTAAACCTTTGCACAGTCCAGCTGGATGGGTTAACAAAACTACCTAATGCTGAAGCCATCTCTTCTATAAGCTTAATAAAGTATATTTTATATATATATATAATATATATAACCATTTTTCTATTTAGAAAGGAACAGAGCTCTCAGTCATTCTCCATTTGTTATTGGTTAGATCATAGAAAATGACTTTTGACTTTTCCTGGGGGCTAGGAGTAGGGGCAGTGTGCACAATTCTATCCCTTTATGCATTAAAAATGTGCAATGTTAGCGTTGTAATATTTGGGATGCAGTGACACCAGACTTTGTTCAGACATTTTATGACTTTTAGTCTCTTATTTATTTGTAAATAGAGAGGGGCACAAAGATCGTAGCAAAGCTTTTGTCATTTTCTGTCTCATGTTTATTTCTGTTTTAATACTTTACAAACTTAATGTATTAGACCAAGATACTGGACTTCGCACTTTATACTTATCACTGGCTCTTGCATAAGACTAGTTTGATCTTGATTTGATCTTGGCCTTGACTTAGTCATGATGATACAGCTTACGCTGGGCAGGCCATTTTAATACGTGTGACCTTGAGAAGCCGGTCCTGGCTAATAAACTTCTTATTTTTTTAAGCCCTTATCATCTATACTGAAGCGTATCCATGCATAGGACAAAGCAGATTAATTTTCTTATTCTAAATATTTCAAATATGTGTCTGCTCATTTGTCTCATTTAAGTGGTCAATGAAATACCCCACTTAAAACATGATTCTTAGTAATTATTTCTCTCCTTCGTGTGTCCTGATGGGAAGCTTTCTCACATTCTGGTGTCTACTAGTGAGGGAGGTACTTTCCTATGACTTTTCTTCTTTTCTGTTTTTTTCCCATGTTTACTGAGGTATAATTGATATAAAAATGCCACATATTTAACGTTTAATGTTTTATGTGTTTATAGGACATTTCAATCAGCATTGAAAAATTGGTTTAGATATCCCGAATTTTTGTCTGTGTGTTTGTTTTTTTGTTTGTTTGCTTGTTTGTTTTGAGACAGAGTCTTGCTCTGTCACCCAGGCTAGAGTGAAGTAGCGCATCTCGGCGCACTGCAACCTCCGCCTCCCGGATACCCAGAATTTTTATAGCTTTACAGTCATGAGTGTTTGATGGTCAGAAAGAAAGTATGAAAAACTATACAAGTGGACTTCCTTCCTCTGTCCACAGTAACCACTCTTTGGCACGGGGGATCCAAACTTGTAGGACTTTGATAGTTCCTTGCACTTCTTTCATTTAGTGTTTGACACTGATTCCAAAAAACTCACTGTAGATGTCTCAAAAGGCACATGTTAATCCTTGACTAGCAATTCGTGACACTGCCAGATTCACTAAATATATTTGAATACATATTCGAAAATCTCGTGATAATACTTCATGATCTCATGCTATTCGTTATCTCATACCATTTTACCTCTTATAAAATGATATGAGATAATAAGTGGTATAATAGGTAACAAGATACCATCTTATGATTTTGATTGGTCAAAAAGACCAATCAGATTTTCACTTGTTACCTCTGATAAAATGGTGAGGATGTTTCCCACACCTACCAAAGTTGGTAAACTCCTTAAGGAGTTGGATAGCCTTAAGGCTATCAAAGTAAAATCTTTTACACTTTTTTTTTTCACTGGTCAGAGGTCAAGTTATATGACTCTTGGGCCTCCCAATGGTTTGGTTCAGTGTGAAAAAATAGAAGTATTAGCAGAATGGATGGCCTCGGGGGAGCTCAGACACACAGCATGGAAGAAGGAGTAGATTTTGAACTTCAATGTAATAGAATGGTCAGAGCTGCACAAGGACTGTAACAAATCAGGAATGACTCACTGTCTTGGTACTGTATTCTCTTTTGTTCCAAAATCAACAATAAAAAAAACTTGGACATCCTCAAAATGAACTATTCTCTTTACTGTTTTCACTATTCGCCTTCACTCACTTGTTTAATTATCCATTCAACAAATCCTTTCAGACTGCCTACTATGTGTCAGGCATTGTCCACAACCCTGAAAATACAGCAGACAAGATAGACAAAAATCTTTTCCATATGAAACTCATATGCTGGTGAAGGGAGAGCAAAGAAATATAGTAGTAAATATATATACATTTTGCCATAGAATGAAAAGTGATATAAAAATAAATAAAAGTGAGAAGAAAAATTGAATGTGCCAGAAGTGGATGTAAAGGTACTGTCTCCCTAGTGTAGAGAGGTATGGGCATTAGATTTCTGGGATTAGGGGAAGATTTGGAAGTACAGGATTATTATGCTGACTTTCATGGAAGATATACAAGACATGGGATTGATTTCGATAATGTGAAGGCAAGCCATGGCTATGAAGCTATGGGTGTAGGGGAGAGAAGGACAGAAAAGTAGGATCTTCTAGTTCTATGTTCACTTATTTACTCTTTGGTGGGGTCAGGTGAGAAATAGCAATTGTGAACCCCAGGAGCAATGCACCACTCATAAGTTGAAGTTATTTGAGTTTTTCTCCATCCTTTGCAAAAATATTTTCCCCAAACTAATCATGATCATGTTGAAGTCATATGTTCAGTGCCCAGTGCTCCTCTAACTAAGAGAAAGCCCATTTGAGTCTTATTCAAGTTGAGGAGAGGAAGATATATTGTTACTTTACTTGCAAACATGTACATTACTTCAAAGACCAAAGGTAAGAAAATAAGTATATCCCTTTGGTAAGAATGTACATTTCCAGGTATTAGATGTATGCTTCTCCCATACAGTCAATATAAGTTGGTTCCTGGGCTACTTGGTCTGAACAGCTTCTTGTCTCCTCCCTTTCTTCCTCTCTTCTTTTTCCTTTCTTCCCTCTCTCTTTCCTTTCCCTTATTTTCAATCAATATATGCCCCAAACTATACTAAGTGCCGAAGGTGAGTTAATAAGAATGACACAGTCCCTGCTCTCATGGAGTTTTTATTCTAGAGATGATGACTGGAAACATGAAATCTAATTGTTAAGTGAGATAATTACATATTATCAGCAGTACTCTAAAAAATAGATCATGTGAAAGAACAGAGAGTTAATAACTAATATTGTACATTTTATGTGTTTAATTGTATGTAACAAATGCTATCCTACAAGAGATGTATTTTGTTGTTGTTGTTTTTGAGAGGGAATTTCACTTTTGTTGTCCAGACTGGAGTGCGATGGTGCGATCTTGGCTCACAGCAACCTTTGCCTCCCAGGTTCAAGCATTTCTCCTGCCTCAGCCACCTGAGTAGCTGGGACTACAGGTGCCTGCCACCACGCCCAGCTAATTTTTGTATTTTTAGTAGAGACAGGGTTTCACCATGTTGGCCAGGCTGGTCTTGAACT